TTCTTTTTTTTTTTTTAAATCAGAGCCATCACATTGGATAGGTGTTTTTTTTTTTATTTGACTGTGTCAGACGGTATATCCAACAGTTAATGGAGATAGTGGGTATCCTTGTCTTGGTTCTTGACCTAACTGAGAATTCCTCTAGTGTTTCCCCATATGCAAGACATGTTAGGTACGCTGATGTTAGGACTAAAATCATCATATTAAGAAATATACATCATCCTTATTATTTTAAAAATCAGGAGCACATATTGAATTTTGTTGATCAACATCAATGCAAGAATCATCCTTGCATTCTTGGAATAAAATCTATTTGGTCATGATTTTACATATATGTATATTTGCACTTGTACATGTGCACTCAAAACTTAGGCATCATCCTTGATTCATTTCTATCATCATACTTCACACTCAATCCATCAGAAAAGCTTGCTAGTGTTACCTTTTGTGTACAACCCTAATTTGATCATTTTCTACATTTTTCAGCTCTAGCATTCTATCCCAAATCTGTACTGTTTTTATATGAACTAACACAATAGTCTCCTCTATTGGTTCCTCTAAATGGTTCCTCTATTTCTTGTCTTCTACCCTTACAGTCTTTTTTGCACAAAAATGCCTTTAGTAGTTTCTTATCCTGCTTAAAATAACATCCAGTATCCTTACATGGTCAATAAGGCCCTACTGTTTTTTAAACCTGGTCCCTACCTATATTTCCACCTCTCCCTCTCATTCACTTTCCTCCAGCTATACCAGCTTTCTGCCCGTTCAACACACTAAGCTTATTCCTATCTCAAGATCATTTACTTGGTATTCTACATCTTTTCCCTGGAATGTTCTTTCCCCAAACCCTCTGATGGCTGTTTCGCATTAGGTAGGACTTTGCTCAAATGTCACATTAGCATAGATACCTTATTTTCCCAAATACCTTTCTTTAATGTAGGGCTACCTACCTCTCCCACCCTCCAATTCCCCAATATTCATTCTCTCCTACTTTACTTTTCTCCATAGAACTTACCTTATAAGCATCTGAAATTATATTTTATTGTTTATTTGTTTACTGTTTGTCTCTCTTATCAGAAAAGTTTTGTCTTATCCACTACTGTATCCATAGTACCTGACACAAACTAATCATTCAATAAATATTTAGTGCATAAAGGAATGGAATAAGAAGCAAAAAAGAGAAGTCAGAAACACCAGCTCTAGCAGCCAACTGCCCAACTGCGTAAAGGTGGACTGTGACCTCCACCTTGCTTGCTGAATCATAAGTATGTACGTGGTATGTGTTTAAAATTAACCTCTTTTTGGCTGGGCACGGTGGCTCATGCCTATAATCTCAGCACTTTGGGAGGCCAAGGCGGGTGGATCACCTGAGGTCAGGAGTTGTGGACCAGCCTGGTCAACACGGTGAAACGCCGTCTCTACTGAAAATATAAAAATTAGTCAGGTGTAGTGGTGCGGGCCTGTAGTCCCAGCTACCCAGGAGGCTGAGGCAGAAGAATCACTTGAACCTGGGAGGATGAGGTTGCAGTGAACCAAGATCGCACCACTGCACTCCAGCCTGGGCGACAGAGCAAGACTCTGTCTCAAAAAAAAAATAAATAAATAATAATAATAATAATGATAATAATAAATTAAATTAACCCCTTCTCTTAGCTTTTTCTTTTTAAAGCTTTCCTTTTTTTGCCACTGTTGTAGGTAGAGTATATTCCTTTTTCTTTCTTTTATAGGTTGACAGAACAAAAAGAGGAGTAGATATCACCCAAATATCCTAGAGTTACAGCTGAATGCATTAACTAGATCACAGCATTAACCCTCCCCTGTGAGAGGGTATGAGTATGTTTTGGTTGCATATGGAATAAGTTCACTGTGTTGATCAGAACGTTTTCAAACCGCATGTGTAAGAGGAAGAATGAGAGAGTTTGTTGAGTAGCCAAGAGCCACATTGTCATTTCTGCCTAACTAACTTCCATTATTCCTTCTTTGGTAACAGTCCCTAATTTCCCTTTGGGAAACAATGACTCCACTTTCACTCATGCAAATGAGACTGTCAACCAAGGTGTCCTTCCTTCTTTTGGTCCAATGGGTCATATGACTCTACCTGGACAGAAATACAACTCTTGCATAAAGTTTGGAAAATATGGGAAAATAGTTAATTTGATACAAAATTCCAGTGATTCCTTAAAGAAAATGGTCATTAGTTCCAGCTTTAGTTTTATCTTTTCTGAAGTACGCTTCCTCAGCTTATCTTTCAATTTTGTTAGCTACTCCACATCTTTTCTTAATAAAACTTCTGTTCTGTTTGTTAGCCAACAAAAATACCCTACCTGGAATATCTAAACTATTACTTCTTTGTTTGAAAAATGTGGCTAATATTGAGAAAATTTTGGTGTGAAGATTAAATGAGATATTCATTCAAACATTCAAATATTGGAGTACTTCCATTGAGCAAGCCTGCTAGGGATAGAGAAACAGAAGATACAAACCCAAAGTGAAGGAGTGAAAGAGTGAGGGACATAACATTATGTAGAGATGTGAACTGGACCTCTTGTGAAGAGCTGGTCTTTGATACAAGAAACACTTCCTCCATTGTGTTACATTGAGCCATATGACACTGGCACGTTCAACCATTTTTGAAATATAAAAGTAAAAATTTCACATAGTTCAATGTAATGGTAGAAAAGAAACAAGAGAAAGCAGCTACAAATGCATTTAGATTTACAGATTTAGTGGTGGGAATTTAAAGAAGCACCTGTCTCTCCCACTGCTCCTTGGCCTTTTGGCTAAGATCAAGTGTAGTATCTGTTCTTATCAGTTTAATATCTGATATGTCCTCTATCCGAGAAGAATATATTTATGGATTTTTGGAGTAGGGAGATGGAATAGGAGCTTGCTGCATCCACTCCATGCATCGACCTGGTATTGCAGTACTTCCAGGAACAGTGCACTCCTCCAGAAAAAGAAAAAAAAAAAGCAGCAGCACATGTCTTATTTGTATATAAAATGCCTAGAGTAACAGACACTCAATAGTTTATTTAGGTATAGATTACTCTTTGAAATAAAGTCATGAAATATGCTTTCCTAAAGGATTTTGTATAGAGGAGAAACATCCATCACCTTTTTTGGATATTCCTGGTGCTGACAAGAAAGAGAGTTGTGTCCCAAAATCTTTAATT